TGCCTGATACAAAAAGGCAGGATGACACCTCAGAAGTTGATAAACTAGATAATTATAATCTTAGAATGTGCTGCTCTATTCTTTTTTCAAGTAGATCATTATAAGACACAGCAGTCACAATATCTACAAATAATCACCTATTCTAATGCCCGGTGGGAACCCATCATTAAATGTGATAAATGCAGCTCTTGGAACATGCTGACAGAGTTGAGAAAAGTGCACCCTTCATCCACAACACAGCAATATTAATTCACTCACCTTACCCATGATGCATGACGTGAGATGGTCACTGCTGCCATCTACTGGGTTGTTGCTATATTCACTGTGGTGTTTGCTGTTGGGAGACATGCTATGTGATTTGCCATGAAAATTTCAAGTCTGATCTTGAAAAATATCACATTTATTTTCATAGAAAATTTATATTTTACACAGTTCTACACATGCACAGTCACACAATAGTCCATATCAGTAAATATAGACCAACAAGTTCTTTTTTCTTTTTAATTCACAGAGCAAGCACAGAATTGCTGACTTGAGCATCTTTTCTTGAAGACACCATGGAGAACACTTACACTGTTGAATATTAAATCTTAAAGCACTAAAAAAGTCTGAAAATCTGTAAATTAAGTATAAACATTTATAAATTATCTACAAATGGAGTACAAAAGAGTCACCAAGTAATGAACACTTATAACGTCCAGTCACAAACGAACACTCGGGATTCATGATAACAGAGATAGAGATTTCTTTTAAATCAAAATATATGTAATCTCTTTTATTTATTTTTCTTTTGGCAAAATGATGTTGCAAGCTATACAGGCAGCTGAACATTTCATACATTCCTTTTTGGCTATCCAACCTTTTTTTTCCCTTTTTTTTAAGAACCTTCCATGTTTTTCTTCTACAAGAAATAAACTCCATTCACCCTAAATTAATGTTATATATTTTTTTATTAAAATGCTTAAATATATAATACTTTTAAGATCATCTTTTTTAAAGATTAAAAGAAAAAGTCAAACACACACAGTATTTACCCTGGATCAGATCATTCAACAGTGCAATCTCAATCCAACTGGCCATATTATTGTAAGATGCCACCAGATGCTGCCCAACCTCGCATTTCCAGTTGCGGGGGTAAGATGTTTTGTGTTTAATGCAAGAGATTTTGCCCTTAATGTAAACTACTAGATTATAGCTTGAGACAACTGAGCTATCATAGGTAATTTTGCCTGAGGGTATTACTTAACCTGTATTTTGGTAGCTGAGACTATGTATAATAAGGTCCTCAGCAAACAGACTATCACAAGGAGTCTGATTCTACCATAGCAAGCAAAGACTCAGGAAAAACAGCCTATGATAACAGCAGCAAGGATATGTCATTTAGGCCTATAAATGATGTTCTCATAACCAGCCATGACCCATTTGTTTAAACCAGTGCCAAAAGGGTTGTTCACCCAAAAATGAAAGTTCATGTTGTTCTAACATGTATGACAGAAGTTTCTTCTGCGAAACATAAAAGAAGATAGGCCTATTTTGAAGAATGTTGGCATCTGAACAGTTTTCCATTGTATGGCCCAAGGAGAGAGAGTGAGATTTCTCAAAATATATTCTTTTATGTTCCACGAAAGAAAGAAAGTCATACAGCTTTGGAATGATGTGAGGGTGGGTAGCCTAAATAATGACAGAATTTTCATTTTTGGGTGAAAATCCATTCACACAGAACACATTCTTGCGTTTAAAATGGAACGGCAAAGAATGTAGTGTTTCTATGCATGTAGTTAAACTACTTTTAACCTAACGTCACTTTTTAAAAACATTGAGAAAATATGTCGCATGTTTACATAGAAAAACCATAAAAACCTATCGCAAAAATGCATTCTGTGTAATAGAAAGTGAAATTTGAGGAGACACCAAGACACCATCTTTGCTTAAATATTTCTTCTTATGAAGACCACACCACCCTTATAGACTTTAGAAAGGAACAGGAAACAACTTGTAATTAGCAGCACGTCACATTATCACAAAAGTTTATAACAACATTTGTCCCTTTTCAGTTTGAAGGGGTTGCACGAACATGGATGCAGAGGGGGGAGACACACACCCCCACACACACGAGCCATTCACCAAAACACACACTGATTGTGCATTGAAAAGCAAACAGAAACTTTCCATTGTATTTTTATAACTTCAGAGTCATTCTCGTGACAGACACTGGAAAGGGAGATCTTAGAGCAAGCAAAAGGAGGATACTTGGCAAAGACTGATGTATGGAGACATCAGATGTAGGTAATATACTGTACTTACTGAGTTTAGATGAAGGCCACAGCAATGTTTAAAAGGATTTGCTCATAGACTGTCCTAGTCAGTTATGCCATTTTGCACCTTGCCCATCTTTCTATGGAAATATGTTTTTTTGATTGTGGTCCGTTTTTGTGTTTCGGACTAATAATGCACTTAATATGGTCTGGAGGTTTATATCAGTTTTTACATTTGACTGACAATGTCAGACCATATTTGAAGTGCTTACTGGACTGTTTTTATCACCAAGTGCTATACCAAACTTGAAAATCTATGGGATTGAATATTTCATTCAAAATCCAGCACTTTGACTTGAAATATGGAAATTATAATAAAAGGAATTCCTTAAATATTAATAATGTCTCTTTGTCCTCTACCTCACAGCATGAATAGATGCTTTCATTCTGAAAGCCAATTAGCAAGCTCACTGTCTATATATGTCATTCCTTTCCATCTGGATATTAGATATATTTCATGATATGTACGTGGCATGTTAATGTGAAAGCTGTTTAGATTAATTTTTTTGTGACCAAAAAAATCATCGAAGACTTTTCCAAAACGATGGGGATTGGCGGTCTCTCTTTTGACAGAGAAATCTGTATGCTGTTGTAGCCATATGAATTTGAAATCAAACTCATACTTTTACTTTGAGAACTTTTTGAGCAGTTTCTTCCCCTTAGAGAGCAGTCCTTTTTTCTTTTTAGATGCCAGGTCTCTTGGACCCCTGGCAGGGCTCAGCGGCCTGACTGGGCCAACAGGAAGCATAGGACGCACAGTGGGAGAGGCGGGTCTTCCAGGGGCCGGAGCTGGCACTGTACTTTCCACAGGCACCTAATGAAACATCCACGGGGAAGGGAAAATTGTGGGATATTATACAGCAAGATTATCTTTTGCCTTATTATCTGCCTTCCTCACACATAACAGTCCAGCTTACGTTCTGAAGTTTAAAACAAATGATTTCAGACTAGAAGTGTGCCAAGAAAGTTAGAGCAAAAACTATATTACTACTCACAGATTGGAACTCTAGAGAAAAGGCAGATAATATGGTTGGTTGGAACCAACTGCAAGATACCATACGAGTCTAATGCATTGGCATATTAAGCAGAAAAGTGTTTTTGAAAATAGAAAATGAAAATAAATTTGAAAAACAATTTGATAAACATTTGAATGAATAAACATAATAAAGAAATAGTTCAACCAAAAATGAAAATTTGCTCACTATCAGGCTATTCAAGACGAGTTTGTTCCTTCATCAGAACAGATATGTCCATAATCCATAATAACGCTTCCTCCAGTGAAAAAGTCCATCCCCTGTTGTCCTCTCACATCCACAGAAATATTTGTTTAGAAGATTTTCTAAACTTGGACTTGAATTTGAACTGTTTTTGCTTGTAAATGGTGCTTGATCTCTGCATATTTATCTCCTGATTCAGACGAGATGACTTTTTTACTAAAGAAAGCAATATAATGGATAAGAATGCTGAAAGGTATGGTTTGGCATTAAAAATGTCTTGATGGACTTGTTCATTACAAATACACAACTTTTTGCTTCACAAGACGTTAATTCATAGAATGGAGTCGTGTGAATTACTTGTGTATTATTATGTTTTTATCAGCTGTTTGGACTGACGGCACCCATTCACTTCAGAGGATCCATTGGTGAGCAAGTGATGTACAGTAATGCAAATTTTCTCCAAATCTGTTACAATGAAGAAACAAATTCTACATCTTGGATGGCTGGAGGGTGAGTAAATACATTTTCAGCAATTTTTCATTTAGGGCTGAAGTACTCCTTTAAGCAGATAAATCTAAAACAAAATTTTAGACGACAATAGATCATTCATATTCAACTAATGCAACATATAAAGGTAGTATAGTAGGAAATCCCAATTATATAATTTAGCCATAAAAATGCATAAAAAATCAGCATAAAGGGTGTGCATAAAATCCCATGCATGAGACTGATCACTGGTATCGCAAGTTGCTCAACTTACCTAGCAAGACAAAAGTCTGCTAGGATGGGAAATGGACAATATTTCTCAGCTTTTTTTCTTTTTTGGCAAAGCCGGTGGGAAAAAAAATGAAATTAGAATGCAGCGACATCATCAAAAAAAACAAAAAAACATCAATTATGAGGAGAAAAAAGCAACAACACCACATACACAAAAACAAACATAGGTCTTCACTAAATGTCCACTAGCAAAAATAAATATTTGTTTCAGTTTTTCATTTATTTTGATTTATTGTAATTACATCATGAATGTTATTATTTTAGTCTCTCTGAAAGAGATGGGATGAGTAATATGTTCTGCTAGTTCATATGATCTGAAAAATAGATTTTTTTGACAATGTGCAATATACAAAAAGAAACAAAGCCTCCTCAAAGAAATACAACATTTGGGGTACTGTAGTTTACTTTTATATAAAAGCTACAGGTCTGTTCTGGAAAAAACAGGCATGCGTCAACTACGTGAGTTTCCAAATCAGTCTTTTAACAGGGTCACAAATCACGAGCCACGGACCCTATGGACTTCACAAGCTTCAGTTAAGTAGGGTTTTGTGTTTCAGTGCAAAAATGCTTTATGCTTTATTCATAGTCCGGTGCAGGAACGGAATTTGGCCTTTTCCACAGTCCTCTGGCGACCCTCTACGAACATTCGCTTTCTTAATAGAGTCACGTTCGTACCTGTTTCTCTATGCTCTCAAAAAAGGCTCTGTTTGCAGTGGGCTTTGCTTCTCCCTTTCCTGGAGCAAGAACGGTTGGACTGGAAATCACCACCACGGTCACATAACGAAAAAACAAACAAGCACAAGAAAACACAGAGACGGCGAGTGGACCAAAACTCAAACGGAGGATGAATGGACACAGGGCCTAGCGCTGAGAACGGCGATGGTGTACCCGTTTGGTCTCTGGGCGCGGTGCCAGCACTGGATTGGGCTTGTCCTGGCCATGGTGGGAGGGAGTATCCGTCAGATAGACCTCCACATCATCAGGCACTTCTTCTAGAAAATTGGATGGAACCAAGCCCCGATGTCCATTAAGCTCACCCTGAAAGACAAAAAACAAAACACAATAGTGCTGCAGGCTCAGAATAAAGCAGCGTGAGCAGTCAGCATAACAATGATACTTACATAATAGAAGCCGTCTTCATCTATATCCCCAAAAACAGCAACGATATCGCCAGCACAGAATGTCAGTTCAGCCTGCCACAGAAAGCACACGATCAGCAACTATACGGACATGCACATTCAGCAGACGGAGAACCCGAGAGTGCATAAATACATATATGAAAGTGTATTTAACACCTCAACGTCCACGTTTGGGGAGCTCTCTCTGGGGTCATAGTCATACAGGGCAACCATTCTTCTTGTGGCCACTGGGTGGCGACCTCTCCTATTTTGTTCTGTTGGGGAGAGAGAGTCCATTTTTCTGTGAGAGAGGCAGGCTATGTTCAAAACAATATTTGACTTGTTAGCATGGTGTAGATAACTTTGCTGCTGGTAAAAAGGTAGCCATGCATTCTATGTATTCTAACAAAGTAAAAAACAACATATTTTGAAAGCAACACATAAATCAGAAATATTTCATTTATACCACCATTATATCTCACAGTTGGGGTCAGTAAGATTTTCTTTTTTAAATAAATGAAAAGTTTGTAGGCTCATTCACACCAAGGATGATAACTATAACATTTTAATAATCTAACTGTAAAAGAAGGCCAGATAGCTATAACTATAATGACACAGAAGAACAATATCGTTGGAATCACTTTCATAGCAATATTTTTCCAGCTCATAAAGATAAAAACATTGGCAAACAAAGTTTGCAAATCTTCATTTTTTTTGTCATTATAGTACATTTAGACAACTGTGACATGGAAAACACCTACCTATTCTGTCTACAGGAGTGTTGAGAGGGAGAAATCCCTGTTTCATGAGCTGCTCCATGGTTTCATCATCCTCAGCACGGATTTCCGACACCATGTTACAGGGAATAAGTCCAGACCTGCCCCGGATCTCCCCACGATAAAAGCCATCGTTATCCTTATCCCCATACACCTTAAACACACAGACAGAGGGATGCTGAAACAATGGGAGGGCCATTTAACAACAGATCATTAACTCCAGCTGAGCGGTACCTTGATAATCTGTCCCTCTTTAAATGGGAGCTCCTCATCAGCTGCATCAGGGTTAGGGGACATGGAGAGAGGGTCATAGTCGAAGAGCGCCACAAAGACTCGAAACGGATCCTCCTGCTCAGACTCATCATAGTATGGGGGAGAGCGGCGGCTTTGGTCCCGGTATCCATCTAAAATGAGAAAGATGGGTAAAAACCAAGATGTCTAATAGACATGTTACCCCTTACATGGATTGCCAAGCCCTGCAGTGTAATATTTTTACATAATTATTGTATATTTACTCTAAATGCTACTTCTATTAACTGAGGGATAACATGTCAAATATATATA